GGACGAAACGTCAGGAAGAAATTCCCATAGACCACGGCTTCAAAGCCCGGAAAACATTCCTAAATGTGATTTAACCGGCCGTGAAAGCCTTCATATTCTTGAAATTTTCTATAATTTGTTTAACGGCAGACAGTGACTGCTTCGGTTTGTGTGGATATTGAATGGCAAATGTGTCAGATGTTCTTGAAATAACTTTATCACATTCTCCAGAAATAATAAATACGTTTAAATAATCTTCGTTTGTATAATTTAATCGTCTGGGCATAATTATTCATTATTTTCCAAGGGTGACTGACAGCTGTAAGCATTTCTTTGGCATTTGATTTTATTAAAAATGGCCACTTTCGTTATGACATCTAAGAGAGTTGAATATTAAATAAGATTCGAGAAAATAGCCATATAAAAACATTAAACTCGCAATATTTCGAAAATCAAACTCTTTTGGAATAGACATCGTTACACTAACTTACTCTTATTTTTTGAATATTTATTGAATTGTTTCCATTTTAAAAAATAGAATTTTGGCTGTTTTTTCAACGTCATTTTGAAACTTACTTTCTTAACACTTTGTATTAATAGTAATTTTAATCAAAATGTTGTCGAAATTTCATTAAAGTAAGTCCTTTTCAGCAAGAAAGGCGACTCGAATTAAGTAGCACAAATTACCTTATCGGAAAAACGAATAATTATTCGAGTGGCTGCAACTAACATTTTTTACATAAAAGTTGAAATATATTGTAGGAGTTTGGTATGGCAACCGCGTGGCTAGCAAAATAGGCTTACACTGGCAACATGGCCTGGCCGATTTTCTGAGTTTAGACGTTTTGGGTTAGCGGGTTTCGCCATCTTAAGATTTTTGATGTGTTTTTGGATTTTAGTGATTTTGAGTAGTCTCCTTAGTGAATTAATAAATTGCTGAAATATAGTGAAGGAAGGAAAGTTTATTATTTTAATCGGCCATCCCTAGAATATCAAAAACGTAATAATATATAGGGTGTTCCATTTAAAATAAGCAAATTGATACCTACTTCCGGTATAACCGGAAGCGTAGCCATCTTGAAAATATTTTCCTTGGCATTGCATATTACCTTGGCACACTGTCCAATTTTCAAATGTCTTCTAATTACAGTTTGCCAAATATCGATCGTGGCGGTTCCCGGTGGGACACCCTGTATTACCCTTTTTATGACCCGATTTTTCGGTCGACTCACCTACTAACCGATTTTTTTTTTAACTTTTGACTCGATAGAGGTGGACGGCTGATTCTTGACAGTGGCGAATTCTAGAGTGCTCTAACAAGCCCATTATTAATTTGACGAAATGAAGAATATTAATTTTATCACCGAGCAGGCGACTGGGAAGATCATGCTTAAGGGATCTTTTGTGTGTTCTAAGAAGTATAAAAAGCTATAAAGACGGTGTGCTAGAACTATAGAAAATTAAAAATGAGCCTTACAAAATACAGAAGAAAATGCTGTAAGAGTCAAACAAACTGCTTTTGGTAGGTTGTGTGCAAAATTCCAAGAGAGCCATCTCTATATTATTTTCCAAGATAAGGCTATAAGGAATTCAGTAGAAAATCGGTGATTTCTCAGATTAAACAGATGAATTTGTTTACTTTTTTCCAATTTCTACATCATCCACACCTATTGATATCATGGTAGAAATTGTCATGCAGGGAAACCCTAGTTACAGGGAACCCCATTCTGCTGATAAAAAAAGCGTGCACAGTGGAAGAGCGCGCATCGGGCAGAGGAACCCCATATTAAAAGGTTTCCTCATTTTGTTGGTATAGCCTGCAATATCAGGACAGGAGTCACGACAGAGTCAGTCCCGTTTTTTCTCCAGGTTACCTTATGTATGATCCAAGTTGTGTTTATGGACCGCGCTTCGGTTTACTTAGATAATTAGACAGTATAAAAATAAAGTCGAAAAATTTTAAGAACTATAATGAAGAAAGCGTCGTGGGCACTCGAAGATATTCGACAAGGCAGAAAAAATTTAAGACTGCTGCTGAAAAGTTCCAAAATATACGATAAGAAAAAAATTATCAAAACGAAGAAAAAGAGCGGAGAAGAAGAGAAACTTAACAATGATAAGAATGCACCTCGTACTAAGACGATTTTTAACGCTTTAGAAAGGGTCATCCGCCTTTACTCTATACATAGGGGTAAGGGCAGACACCCTACCGCCCAAAAAAAATAGGGGGAATGAAAAGTTAATTTTGTTTGATTATGGAATTCGATAAAGACGACACGGAAGACTCTAACTTATTTTATTGGAAATTTTCATTTCATAATTATAATTATTTTCATCATCAATCATTTAGTCATAACAGCACAATAGAAAATATTCAAGGAAATATTTTTTTTTAAATGAAAGAAGTTCCTGCTCCCAAACATAACATTTGCAGATTTGTGTTACTTTATGTGTTAAAGCTTATAAAAACAATTTTAAAACAAAACAAAATTAAAACTGGCCGCAATGAATGGCGGTTTTCGTTCTTCTCACGGCGTCCGGACGCGGACTCTTGACACGATTTCAGGCGCTAAATTAAAGAAGTATATGTATAGTAAACACAGTAAACGGCACATTAATATATGTATAGTAACACGGCACAAAAGTTGATAACAACGATCAACAGAACACAGAATCGTAATTCTATATTCAGATGCGGGAGGTTAAATAATTATTTTCATTACTTGTAAATATATAGGTATATGTTTAACTGTAGAATATGAATAGTTTATTTTGTAAAAGTATACAAACTGTATATAAATATATTTGCATAAAACAAATATAATCATATCAATTTTAAAAAGTAGTAAAAGATAACAGTTACAAATCGCCAAACATTAAGGTGTAAATTGGCAAATATCTTATGGGATTTTCTCAAAATGTTCGTCGCAAAACTCTCCGAAAAGTAACTAAACACTCAACTTTGTTATTTTAAATACAATGCCCGATTCTTTCTTTAATTTTTGAATTCTACGTTAAATTCTAAACTTATATTTATCATATAATATTCCCTATACTTAAAGCTTGCAGTTTATGAGATGAGATTAGAAAGAAAACAATTTAACTTAAAAAAATTGCCGCGTCAGACTAGGCAAAAAAGAGGACAAATTTCACCAACCAACCGGAGGTGACCGAAAGACCTATTCGATAAAAATGTTCATTTCAACAAACCCCATTTATAAATTTTCTATTGCGGGTACTTCTTCCGCATAAGTTATGGTTCGTATGTATACAGCGAGTCTGTCTTGCTTATTTTTACCTTTCACGCGACATTCGCAAGAAAGAAAAAAACCTATCAACCTACCAACATATCGCATTAACATTAACTTGATTCCAATCCCAATTATTATAACTGAAAATAATGATAATAATATAAATGATAAATAAATTCTGTCGTTTAAAGGATTTTACGTTAATAATTTTTTTTGGTAAAACATGTAATTTTAATACGTATGGCAAATTCCAGACAGAAATTGTTGTTATAGTATAATATGGATAAATAACTGGGCTACCTCCCAGAGACCCAAATCTACCCCCTCTCTTGCGGTAGTCTACCCCGATAAAAAAGAAGCTTGTAGCGACATTACAGAGTAACCTCTGTGATCTGTGGAGATCGCAAACCTCTGTGATCTGTGGTGGTGACTAGTGGCAAGTCAAGTTAAGGTAAGGTAAGGTTATGTTTTTATTTTTTTAAATAATCCACGAAATTTATTTGATATAAGCAAAGAGATCAATTTACTTTAAGTTAGAACGGTTTTATTGATAAGACAAGACTGTATTTATATGTGTATTGTGCAATATTTTTTTATTCAACAGCCAAACATTTGAACCAAAATATTTTGAAAATACGCCGTAAACTTAGCTGCTAGAGCTGTTAGAATAAAATTGATTGTAATCTTCATATGGATTTTGAGACAGTCAATAACTTTTCACTCTGTGTCTTAGATTACGCGTTTAAATGTCAGTCGCAGTTAAAGTAAGTTGGATTACTTTAAATCGTAATCTTAAGCTAGTTGCAAGTCAGTGTCTTGCCAGAAGTGTTTCACAAATGGCAACTTCCGCACCTCCCAGCCAAATGGAAGAAATCGTTAAAAAGTTTAAACTCCCCAAGGCATACGAAGGAAGTCGTCCTAGTGTTTGGTAAGCGAAATTAGCTCTAGAATTTGATTTAGTTAAACTAGGTAGGTACAGTCGGCGTCACATAAAGGTAGACGATTAAATAGTTGTGTCTGACTTTCTACCTCGATCTGCCTTTGCGTAAATGACATAATACTGACAAATACTTTTTCCTATTATCAAAATGACACATTCTAAATTATTTGAAAAAAACTCGAATAATTACATTAATCGAGGAAGGATGGTCAACAAAAACAGTAGCTGAGAGATTTATGAAATCAATACAAGACTTCAAATAAATTAATTAAATTGTCAAACTAAAACAAGTTTTTGACATACATTCTGCATATATTTGACGTATTTCAAAATCGGGAAAAATCGCCTTTAGGAGTCGTCTACTTTTATGTGTAGCATTAGCGGTCATTAGTACAGCCAACTGTACTAATGACCGCTCCGGAAAAGTAAAAAAATTGTTAATTCTGTCATTTTATTGGGCCTTTTAGAGTTAACTAAGAAAATACTTAATTTTTCCATGAATCGAATACCACTGAACAATATTTAGTCGTTGTGTAAATCTGACTTTGTACCTCGATCTACCTTTGCGTAAATCACATAATACTGGGAAAAAAATTCGTATTATCAAAATGCCACATTCAAAAGTATTTGAAAAAAAATGGTGTGCGTCACGGGACGCTTGACAAAAGTGATAACTTTTATATATTTATAGAAACCATAAAATCACAGATCACAGAGGTTATAGATTGGAAACTGCCATATGCGTCTGCAGAATGCTATTTGTCGCTTATCTCAGCGGCTGCAGGCAAAACTAAACTCTAATTTCCACTACTGGCAGAAGAAATCTTCTTTATCGATTGGCTTAGTTTGGGTTAGTCACATCAAAATTTAGCGGGGTATTTGATTTCATTTTATGACCTCTGTGATTTCCGTTGAAGTTTCAATAACATTTCAAGCATTTTATCATGCCCCTTTATTGTGATGTTTATGCTAGAGCTTCAATTAACATTACAATTAAAGGGCAATATGAGATACTCGAAATATTATTGAAACTTCGTGTAGATTTGTTGTGTGATCGTGTAGTGTTTCAACAAAATCTGAAATAAGTTTTATTCACATTAAATAATAAATATGTTGAACAAATATGCAGAAATGTTGATATAAGTATCCAATTATTACCTGCTATTTACGTTCAGTTGGTACCTGATGGTTGTGTTTGTCTTCGTTTTTTCGTTATCGATAAAGTTTAGGAAATGCTCTTACAGGCTGGTATTCTGGCGCTCTGGGTTGTGTGGGGCTCCAGCCAAGCTGTTTACTCACTAAAACTCCTTCCACATTAGCGTCCAGCCTTGGACTGCGGCCATTTCTGTTCTTTTATTGTATATTTTCTGGACAGGCCATATCTTGGAGTAAAATATGCAAAATTATTTCGAGTCAAGCTTTCAGTGATTCTCAGGAAATCGATATCGTCGACAATCTTGATTTTCACGAACACAACACAACACTGGAAGCGGCTGGTATCTGGCTACCTGATATTCAGTTGTTGTAAAACTCAAATAAACTTCACAGTTATCCAGAGATCACAGAGTTCGGAACACAACACTTTCATTATCCGAGCCACGTTATGCTCCATTATTGTAAAAGAAAGATAAATATGACAATTATCAAACGAGTTGAAAATGCTTATGATTGCAAATTGAAAACATAGATATACTGAGATTGAAAATTGACGGAATAATCTTAAAGGCCGATTTATAAACTTGACGTTGCCTGTACCGGTGCCGTTTGCGCTGACGATTGCCGTTTGCGCTTCAAAAAGCGGTTTATAAACTTGCCGTTACCGTTTGCTGTCAGTCGAATTTTTAACCTAAAATATTTCCTGTTATTGAATGTTTTGAATCAGCTGATTTGGTCCGACCAAATACTGAATTCGGATTGGTTGGTACGTCAGTACTACGGCCGTTCTACAGCCGTTCTACGAACGTTCACCGGCAAAAAATGAAATTGGTTCATATCATAGAGTAAGTAAAATAAGAGAGATGGCAATCATATGGGCGTCCTTGTTACCGCGTTACGCAGGTAGCGCTGCAACTGGCTGAC